AGGGATGGAGGGTCTGGCGGGCGGCGGGCAGCGCTCCCCCGGGGGGGGGGGGCCGGGGGTCCCCCCGCGGGATGCTCGCCCCGGCCCCCGGGAGCCGCCGCTGCGGAGCCGCGGGGCCGGGAGCGCTCGGAGCGCGGAGCCGCAGCCGCTCGCTGCCCCCCCGGCCACAATCACCCCCTCCCCGGCCACATTCAGCCCCGTCCCGGTCACATCCATCCCCTCCGGACCCGCAGCGAGTGCCCCCCGGGCCGCCCCCTGCACTCGCTGAAGGACTTTGGGACCAGCCCTTTGCGGTGTTTTTAGCGCACCAAGAGTTGAAAAATGCCACGCTCCGGCTTTTCGGCGGAGCCGAAGTTCGCGGGGCGCGGGGAGGGGGTGGCTACAACTCCTGTGGATCAGCCGGGAGCGATCCCCGGGATGCGGTGGGCAGCTGGCAGGGATGCTCCCCGCGGCCCCGGGGGCTGCCGCGCTCGCAGCCCTGCGTGCCAGGCAGCGAGGAAAACGCTCTCTAACTCAAGATTTTTCTCGGGCTCTGGATCGGAAAGGAAAGGGCTCATTGTTCTGGAACGCGTGTCGGTGGAGTTGTGCTCGGGAATGATTTGCCTTTAGAATGTGCGAGGTGCTCGTGGTGTGCGCAGACGTGCGGGGTCGGCGCTGCCCTGACTCCTTTAGCGAACGAGCAGCGCTGAGCCCGGGCACTGGGGGGAAAACTCCACGCAGAAACCTCTTCCTAGGCCCAACTTTATTCCGTGTGATTTACGCCTGAACTCTGGCACAGCCGCGGCTCTGGGCCGGGGCTCTGCGTAGGTGAGCGATGCTGCGAGCGCCGCTCGGCTCGTCGCCCACCAGGCTGGATTCTTTCCTTTCGCAGGGTCGAGACCTCAAGGTTGCGACCCTGGGGGGAGTTAATTGAACAAGCCGGGGGTTCGCTTCGCCTCCCGCTCCCCCTTTGCGGGGAGGTGCTGCTGGCTGGAGGCTCCAGCGCTGTCCCTGCCTCCCCGGGGACCTCCCGCTGGCGGGGGATGCTGAGGGACAGCTCAGCCGCCGCATCCCGGCCGTTCTGACGGAGCGCTGGTGGGCTCCAGCAGCCCCCACCACCACCAGGGGAGATCCCCCCCGGCAGGAACCAGCCCTTTGTCTCAGCCTTTTCTCCGGGAAGCCGCTCAGCAGCCACATCCCGGCTGGATGTGACCGCTGCATCGAGCACAGAGCAGAGCCTCCCCCCCTGCTTCCCTGCGCTGGGAGCCGGGAGCCTACGGCGTTCGGAGAGCGAGGAGCATCCCTCTGGAGTCTCTGGCTCTCCCGTGGAGCAGACAGCACCCAGCAACCAGCTCCTGGGTGCTCAGACGTGTGTGCTCACAGGTAGGAGGTGGATGTGACTGTGCCGGGTGCTCTCCTGCCATGGTTTGCTTTAGTCTTCTTTCACACAGGGGTAGGAGCCATCTGCAGTGAGGCTCCCACCGTGCCAAGGCATTTTTAACGTGTCTTGATGCAAGTCTGCTTTAGTATTTATGTATATTAAGCTGTGTATTTGAAGGGAACCATCTGGGTAGAGAAATCGATGGCGAGTGGCAGAACCTTTCCCTCTCGGTTTCCATTTCGGGGCTGGGCCTGATTAGCGAAGGCAGAAGTTGGGAAAGTTGCTGCGTGGCTCGTTCTGGTTTGCAGGTGGTGCTTTCCCCACACCTGATGTGAATTCCTACCCTGGGATGAGACAGCTGGAGCTGGGATGGGGGAAGAGGGAGCTGACAGGCTGTGCTGAGCAGAGAATGTGTCAGCACAGGGAAGGAGAATGCTCTTTTCTTTTCCTTTAAATGGCCATTTCTCTTAACCCTTTGTGCTCTGGCGCCTGTGGGGATGGTGCCTCTGCTCTTGGGGGTGGGAAGAGGGGGCCTGAGGAAGGTGAACCCCCAAAATGAAGGGCTGTGAGTGAGGACAGACCAGAGTTGGGGTAAAGACATGAACATCTCCCTAAAAAGAATCACCTGTGTGAGGCTGGGTTATAAATGGTGGGGGGGGTTGGAGCAGCTGCCTGCAGTTCTGAGAGGGACAGGCACGGAGACAGAGCTGCTGCTGCTCCTGCAAGTTTCTTGCTGGAGGTTTCTTTTGCAAGCTGTGCAAGGAAAATAAGCCAAGGAGTCATGCGGGCTGGCAAAGGCCTGGACACCTCGATGCCAAGGAGCACTCAGCAATCTGGGGGAGAACGGAGGATGATTTGAGGGACCTGGTCTTCAGGGAGCTCATCAAAGGAGCAGCAAAGCAGGTAGGGGCAGTGCTGCCTCCAGACTGTCTGTTCTGAAAGCTTAAATGTGCCAGGGAATTGCATCTCCCGTGTGTTGTGTGTGCTCACACTGATGTCTTTGCTTGATGGAAAAGCAGAAAGTGAAGTTAAAACTCAGCCAGGAGCTGGGAAAATCCTCAGCTAAATCCTGGCTGATTGAAGGAGTTCTGGTGGGAGAGAATCTGACTGTGATGGAGGATCTTTGTGTTCTGCCACGGGAGCTGCTTTGGCCATGTGGGTTTAGGCTCCTCTTTTGGGAAGAGCTGCTGGTTTTCCATGTGAAATAGGGACAGAGGAGACCAGGAGAGGCCTGGGGCTGCTTTGGCTGGAGGAGGAGCTGTGTGTTTTTACTGGGTGATGCTTGAGCCTGCATGGGAAGGATGAGCTTTGGCCTCAGAAGAGGAAAAGCAGGGGGGAGGAGGAGGGAGGGGTGACACAGGGAATGAAGGAGCAGATACCTGCTCAAAATCAGACGCGGCAGGGCCATATTGGTGGAGGAGAACTCCCTCCTCCAAGAAACTTCATCTTCTTTAAGGTACTTTGAGCTTTATTCTGTTTTTTGTCAGCACTAAGTATGTGCAGGCAGTCGATGTCTTGCCCTTTTTAAAGGCCTGATGATGTGCCTGAGGTGTGGGTATTGATTCTCCCTGTCTTTTAGGGGAGCTCTTCATGGGCAGCACTTGTTAGGGTCAGGTTTGAATTGTTTGGGTTTTTTTTTCGTGCTTCCAGGCAGGCACAAGGAAAGACAAATGTTCTGCAAGTCTTCTCAGAAATGTTTTCTGGGCAAGAGGTTTCTAAGGCAGCACATAAAGGCTGAGGAATCGGCTAAAATGAGGAACCTCTTGCTGTGTGTGTGAACAGGAGGAACACAGGAATGGGGCTTGAGCAAGATGAGAACAGCTTGGAGGGGGTTGCTGAGACTTGAGGGGATGACACAGAGGAATCAGTGGGGTATGAGAAACTCCAGGAGGAAAGCTTTGTACAGGAGTGGAAAAGTTGGCTTGGAAAGGAGACCCAGGGAATGCTGCAGAGCTGTGCCCGTGCTCAGGAGACTGGGAGCTCCAGTTTGTCTGGCTGTACCCTCAGGGGAGCTACTAACCCTGCCATGGCTTCTCTGACAAGAAAAAGGGGGGACTTGGAGAGAGAAAAGGAGTTGTAAAACCTGTGAGGAGGTAATGGAGCAGTTTTAAGGGTCCCCAGGATAACTTTTCACCTGCTCTGTGGGACGTGGCTTGGAAGGACAGTTAACATTACCATGGTTTTTATGTTTGTCCTGGTGCCTGTGGAAGACTTGGTGTGCTACAGTGGATGTGGGAGTTACTGGTGGGGAAGGTGGAGGAAAATGTAGTGAGAACCAGATCATAGAATCACAAAATGGTTTGGGTTGGAAAGGACTCAGCTCCTTCCAACCCCTGCCACGGGCAGGGACAGCTTCCATGGATAGAACATTTCCATGCAGGTCACAGGGAGTGGCTGATGGGCAGGACAGAGCTGGCAGTCCCCACCTGCAGTGAATTAGCACTGACTGAGTTGTTCCAAGAGGAACAAAGGGACAGAGGTGTTGGGAATCAGGTGTTGTGAATCAGGAGATCTGGGGACCGTTGGTCTGAGGTCAGTCAGGTGCAAACGAGCAGCAGGTGTGAAGGGGAGGACTCCTCCTCCTTGATGGGCAGTTAGCAAGGCAGGAACCCCAGTGGGCAGAGGGAGCCGATGGATACAGCAGGAATTTTGCCAGGAGCTGCCTTTCCAGAAATCAGACCTGGGGAAGAGCTGGGATGTCAGGCAGGTGAGTTTTGCTTCTGGGTGCCTGCTGGGAGGGCCTAATTATCACTCAAATACTGGGATGGGTCTAAGCTTGAGGTCAAATCACCTCAGCTTATGTGCAGAGGATGGGTGCCCAGTAGGGAAGCCTTCCTTCCTAATGCTGCTTGGAAGGCTGAGAAAACAGGAGCTCAACATGTTCCAACGGACCTAATTTATTTGGATTTTTCATTAAATCCACCCAAAAGGGACTATTTTGGGAAATAAATAGCAGAACGTGGGCAATAAATAGCTGTGGGATAAGGGGCAGAGTTCAGTGCTGGCTTTCCTAGTTAAGCTGCAGAAAATAGAAGTGTAATGGTCGAGTGCTGATCGGAGGGGAGATAGGTGATTATGTGAAGGTTCCTCACGCTGAGGCTGGGCTTATTTATTATCTTTAATGATTTGGAGGTGGAAATGGATCAGAGCTGGGTTAGGGAGAGCCAATGTGCCAACAGAAAGGGTTTGCTTTTGTGAGAATTAGAAGAGAAGGCTGCTGGCTGTGAGTGTGCCAGTGGTTTGGGAGCAGCAGTTGGTGTAACTCGGGCTCCAGAACTACAAGAAGAAAACCCTGAGTGAATCCTTCCCTGATAATGGGACCTGGAGGGATTCTGTGGGATTCTGCCAGGAGGAGATGGTGTGGTTTGTGTGTGCAGGTGAGGAGGTTCCCGGGGCTGTGTGGATGAGCTGTAGGTGACGGGGAGCCACAGGAGGTGCTGTGAGGTGGCCAACAGTGCCCTCCACCTCGGGGGCTCTGTGGGGAGAGGTGTCTGCAGGGACAGGCTGCTCTTCCCAAAGCCTCTCAGGTCAGGGATTTGCTGCTGGAGCAGGGGCTGTGGATTGCTTTGGAATGAACGGAGGGAACTTTGCTGAGTCCTGCTGAGCTCCTTGTGGTGGGACCTTCCCCTGGATTTTCCAGGGGATGGATGACAGATGGGGTGTTAGTGATTTGTCAGGGATGAAGGAGCAGAGCTGTGAGCTGTCCATCTCCATGGATCCAGCAGTGCCTCCAACCCAGAGGCTCAGGAGTGTTCCCAGTTCTCGAGAGGGAGTGTTGTTGTGAAGTGTCTGATGAGTCTGTGGTCTCACAGTGCCTGGAGGGGGGATTACAGAGCCCAGAGGATTTGGGTTCTGCTCGATTGCAAATCCCTGAGCCAGGTCTCAGTCAGGTGTCAAGGTACCAATGTTTATCCTGCCCATCCTTGGCATGGAAGCAGCTCTGTAACACAATACCCAAAAAAACGCCTGAGCCCAGCCCCCGGTGAGCCATCCAGCCCAGGGGGATTTTCATCTCTGCTGAGATCTCCTGACTTCAAAGTCTGCAGAATTTATTTGCATCCTTCATGAGGGAGAGAGAGCCAGGCATTTGTGGTTTTGGTTTTTGGTGGTTTTTTTTCCCTGAGCCTCTCTGTTCCTCCCCACCCTCTCTTCAGTTTGTTTATTTGGTTAGCTCAGCGTCAGCACAACGATGTGGAAATAAAGCAGAGGAGCTTCCTCTTGGCCTTATTGAATATTCATAAATGGGAGAAATAGATTATACTGGCAATCCCTGGCTGGGCTACAGTTAATGGAAGTTCTTCTTTGACCTTACAAACCCTGCTTTTCAAGGGTTTATAATGAGTCTGCAAAAATTCATCCCGGGCACAAACAAGTCATCTGAGGTCTCAGACCCTGTGAGCACAAAGTCATAATAATAATACTAATTTCCCACCCACTCAGGCATGTGCTCAGCTCCTTGTAGATCTCGCTATTTTTAAAAAGCAGGTTTTTGTTTGATTTTTTTTTTCTTTTTTACCTTTTTGGGAGTGTTTCAATGTGTGTGTTGGGGGGGAGGAGGGTGACTGGTGGGGGACAGCTCTCCCTGTGCTGTGTGACACCGGTTCCCTGCGTTGGTCCCCCTTGGGAGGCTCTGTGGGTCCTTCCCTGGCTCTTCCAGGAGCAGTTTTATGTCCTTAAGATCTCAGCCCGATGAGCTGGGTGATCACACCTCAGCTGGGTCAGCAGAAAATCAGCTCTTGCTCCCTGGCAGTGGCTCTGCACCTTCTCTCCCCTTCCTGAGTCTGAGAGCAAAGACAGTCTGGGCCTCCTGGGGAGGGGATGAGCTGCTAAAAGCCCCTGCAAGGTTTTGTCCAGCCCTAACCTCTTCACGAACTTTGCACTGAAAACCACAGGGTTTGTGGTGCAGTGACAGAAGCTGACGTTTTGCTGAAGGAAGGCGTCGCATTTGGATGCTGAAGGGTTTATTTGATGGCTCCCTGGCCCTGCTCAGAGGCAGAGGGACTGCAAGGCTTGTTGCCACTGATGTTTGAGTGTGTAGTGGGATTCCTGCTGGGCAGCAGCCCCGTGCTTTCTCTTTGGAGGCTGTGATGAAGCAGCAAATTGCTGCTTCTGATGGAGTTGCTCTAAATGTGGCTTGTTTTGGGTCAAGTGACTGAGCCAGGGGCAGAGCCCGCCTGCAAACCCTGGTTCATTGAAACCAGTGCTGATCTGCAAACATGTGCCAAAACTGCTATTTTTCACCCCTCAAAAAAAGGCTTGTCAAAATACATGTTACTCTACCCACGCTGGCTGTTTGCCCTTGCTGTTTTCTTGTTTGCTCTGTGCTTATTTCCCGTTTTTCACTCCACCTCGTGTGTGATCTGGTAACATCTGGTGGTAAAGGATTGTGTGTGTGCACGGGCAGCTCTGGGAGCAGGGCATCACATCTCTTTTTAAGACTGAGAAACGTTTGGGGCAGAGCCTGTGCTAATGCTCACAGAGCATCTGGTCCTCTCCAGGTCCAATTCATCACTGTCTTGCAGTTTGCATTATTGTTCACACCGAGGGAAAGTGGGTGTGAAGCTGGAATAATAATGTTTCACACTTGCTTTGCATTGGTTTTGATATCCAAGAGCATCTCAACCTATCAGAAAAGGCATAAAGGAATTGAGTGGTCGGAAGCTGAAAGCACAGTTGACAAATAACTTCTTAATTACCTTTAGTGAGGAAATGACTGCTGGGCTCGATATTATATCGATGGCAAATGGAAAATCGAGATGGGAATTTTCAATTCTAACTGAAAAGGCTGGAAGGAATCAGGAGGTGAGCTCAGTGCAGTGATTCCCCCAACTTTTAACCTCTTGCTGTACAGTTCTTCCACACGTAATTCCAGCAAGGATATTTTCCTGAATCTGCAGAGAGCC